TCTCTCTCTCTCTCTCTCTCTCCTCTCCTCTCCTCTCCTCTCCTCTCCCTCCCTCCCTCCCTTCCTCCATCCATCCACACCTGACTCTATGGGTCCTGGGGTTCTAAACTCGGATCCTAATGCTTGTGTACCAAACCCTACTGGACCATCTCCCCCAATCCATTACTTAAGAACTCTTAAAAGGGTATGGCAGGAGTCTGGGTGTGACTGAACTATCCAATATCATAGAAAGAACAAACCAAGAACAAGGATCATTTTTGTTGCTTTATTAATTTTTTCCTCACAGATTTCTTAACAAATATTCTACATCCCCCAAATGTCATTGAACAAATGACAAGACTTCCTATATAGAACACTGGGCCCAAAAGGTAGAAGTTTTGTGTCCCTGGTTCGTAAAACAACGCCAAAAGATTTTAAAATTCTGAAAGTAAATTCAAATTACTTAAATCTTTACTTCACTCGCAATGTCAGGAGTGCTGAAGGTTTGGTTATCATGTTTGTAGTGCTAGCCCCATCTTTCACACACAAGAACAGAAACCTATTCTCTAGGTATCTAAATATATGTGTTCATATACTTTAGATGCATATTTACATAAATACATTTATATAAAACAAAGTTTTCTTAGTTGTAAATAAATAAATCTTTAAAAGAAACCAAATCAGTTTAAAAGTTAAAATTACTATATAGTTAAATCTGTTCAATCTGGAGTTTAGACAGTTTTTTTTTTCTTTTTCTTTTGTTATTTGTTTGTTTATTTGTTTGAGGCAGAGTCATACATGGTCTAGGCTGGCCTCGAATTTGCTATGTAGCTGAGGATGACACTGAATTCCTGATCTTCCTGCCTCCACTTCCCAAGTGCTAGGATCATAGGCGTGCACCACCAAACCCAGTCTTAGATCTTTTTCATGAAAGAAATGTACGAACTGTGCCCTTGATGGTACCTCTACAAATAGGACATTTTCTCAGATTAGGCGCACAATCTTTGCATACGACTAGATGGCCACAGGGAATGAACACTGTGGACACCTCTCTGTCCATACACACTTTACATGTTCTTTCTTCTTGGAGTTTCCGCAATTGTTCTTCCATTGGTAGATCTAAGAAGAGGAAAAACGTATTTTCATTTTTTATTTTAACATAGGGTCTCACTGGGTAGCTCAGGCTGGCCTCAAACTTTTGAAACTCCCCCCTCCAACTCTCAAGGGCTGGTGTTATGGGTAAGCTCCATTATGCACAGCAAAAGAAAAGGATTTTTAATTAAAGGCAATTTGCTTCTCTATTGAAAAGGCAAAACATTAAAACAATGATTTCTACTGGTTTAAAAATTAGCATTAATACCTGAGATGTCCTCTGTGCGAATATATTTGATGTCCTGTTGCACTGAGGGAGGAAAAGAAAAAGCATTATTATGACAACTAAGGTTAATATTCAGGCATAGACTAGATTTTGTTTTGTAACGTTGCTATCTACACCCATAGTCTGATGCATGCATGTCAAGCACATGCACCACAACTGAGCTACATCCACAGCCCCAGAGTGCATTTAAATTTCTTATTTACCAATTATTTAGTCTTTATTTAAAACATGGAATTATTCTATATCCCAGGCTGGTGTTAAACTCACAATCTTCCCTTCATCTCCTGAACACTGGAGTTACAGGTATGTACCAGCATACCCAACAGATGGGTTTTTTGTTTTTGTTTTTGTTTTGTTTTTTTGAGCTAGGGTCTCCCTGTATCCCCGGCTGGCTAGAATTCCCTGTATAGATCCACCTGCCTTAGCCTCCTGAGTGCTGGGATTAAAGGCATGCACCCCACACCCGGCTCTATTTTTTAATGTTTTTAAATTTAACTTATTCATTTGTGATTGTGTGTGTGTTGACAAGTGGGAGAACGCCACAGAACACATGATGATGTCAGAGGACAGGTTTAGGGAATTCCCTCCTTCTACCGTGAGTTCTGGGGTTCGACTCGAGTTGTCAAGCTTGTGCCAGGCTTGTTGGGCAAGCGCTTTTATCTGCTGTACCATCTCACCAGCACCCCCAGCAGATTTTAAACACACTGTTTACACTCTGGCCAAAAACCCATAACATCAGGGCAACAAAAGCCTTTAGTCTTTTGTGTAATTAATATTTATAAATTAGACCAGGTTATTTTCAATGAACATCAATTATTAATAAAATTCTATTTTCAACTGGCCTAGAGAGTTCCCGAAAATAATTTTTTAGCACTTACCAAATAAATGCTGGTACAACACGGGGTCATTCTCTTGCAGGGAGTTTTTGAATATGGCAGCTGCAGTATTTCCATTTACTAAGACAGTGTCAATCAGTTTTCTTCCTTGTAAAGAAGTCTGTGCTTTCTGTGTTTTAATAACATCATATTCTTGTTCATTGATCACGCGGGCACTTAGTAGACTATCCAAGATTGGAGTTACACAAGTCAAATGTTGAGAAAGTGCCATTTTGTTCTTCCGAATTAATGCTAAATCATCTTTATAGAGAGAAAGAAAGAATATTCAGACTCCGCTCACAAACTTATTTCTATACCTGCATAATACACATGGATGGAAATCTTGTGTATTTATTTAGGCTCTCATGTATCCCAGGTTGGCTTCCAACTCACTACACAGCCGAGGATGACCGTGAACTTCTGATCCTCCGTCTTCATCCTGAGTGCTGAGACCTTTGGTGTGTACCACTAGACCTGGTTTAGGATGTTCTGGGAATTGAAGTCCTCCAACTGTTTGTATTTGTTTTTTAAATGAGAGCAGGTCTCTTGTATCTCATCTGGCCTCCAACTCACTGTGTCAGCAAGGATGACCTTAAACTTCTGATTCTCCTGTCTCTGCCTTCTGAGTGCTGGAATTATAGATGTGTGACACCATGTCCAGTTTATGCAATGCTGGGGATCAAACCCAGGGCTTTGTGCATGCAAGGCAAGCACGTCTACCAGTTAAGTGATGTCCTCAGCCCGATATTTATTTCTTTATTGTTAATATTTTATTTTCTATCATAAAGCTAATTTTTATAAAATAACTCATACAGAATATATGAGCTGCCTGAATGATTATTTTAGGACAGACAGATTTCAGATACATTTAATTTCTCAAAAACTAGGATACTTATATAGAACACCTTACAAGGAAAAAAAATGGTGGTTAGTCAAAAATCAAAGCTAGATTTGTACATTTTTGAGTTGTTTGTTTATGGTTTTATTTTGTTTTGTTTTGGTTTTGGTTTTTTGGTCTTTCCCTGTAGCCCCAGCTGACCTGGATTCACTTTAGAGACTAGGCAGGCCTTGAACTTCCAGAGATCTGCCTGCCTCTGTCCCCCTGAGTGCTGGGATTAAAAGGCATGCTCCACCATGCCAGGTTGAGAGCTTAGTTTTTAATTCTTTCCCATGAGGATTCTCATTGTGCTCCTCTAGAGGATTACTGGTAATTTGGATTCTTTATAGTTTTTTTTGTTGTTGTTGTTGTTTATTTATTTATTTTTTGTCTTTTTGAGACAAGGTCTCCTTGTAGCCCAGCTGGCCTGGAACTCACTATGTAGATCTTGAACTCACAGAGATCTGCCTGCCTCTGCCTCTGCCTCTGGAATTAAAGGTGTGTGCCATCACACCTGACCCTTGTTTATGTTTTTTGAGACTGGGTTTCATGTAGCTTCACACTCACTATGTAGCTGAGGATGGCCTTGATTGTCTGCCTCTCCTTGGAAAGTACCAAGGTTATCAGCCTGTGCACCACACCTGGTTAATGTGGTGCTAGGGATTGAACAAGGTTACATGCCTGGCAAGCACTCTACCAACTGAGCTACATCTGCAGCCCTGTTTGTTTCTTGAAACAAGGTCTCACTCTGCTGTAACCCAGGCTGGCCTAGAATTCACTAGGTAGCCTCGCACTCAGGAGGCTGAAGCAGGAAGATCATGAGTTCAGGGCTGGCCTGGGCTATATATCTCTTTTAAAAAGAAAAGAAAAGGGCACACAGAGGACTTCTGATATATGTGTGCATGTGTGTGAGACTGCAGGTGCATGTGTGCCACAGCACTGAGGGGGAGGTCGGAAGAAAACTCGTGCAAGTCAGTTCTCTCTTTGCACCATGTAGATTCCAGGGATCGAGCTCAAGTCACCAGGCTTGGCAAGCTTATCCAGTGAATCATCTTGTCGATGACCCTCCAATGTATTTGAACATGAATGAATTTTTCAGAATTTGAATTAAGAATGTGAAACATAAGGAAAATTGATCTGGATTGATGGGCATCTCGTCAGAACTCACACAGAGGGATAGCATAGGCCTGGGGAAAAGGAGACTTCGCAAACATCTGTACCTGATTCTTTCTCCTCGGACGCTCTTTCCTTCTCCTCTTCTCTTAGTTCATCTTCCGCATCAAGTAAGCCTATCACAAGATCTCTGACAGTTTTGTAGTTCTCGCCCGTGGTCAGGATTTGACGCTGAACTGTCTGTTTTACCAGGCTTCTACTGAAGCCCATTTCCAAAGCCGCTTTAACCACAGGTGTGTTCATCATGACCGCGTCTTCTGAAGTGCCTTCTCCAGAGCCAAAATGCACGACTGTTTGGTACAGAGGATTTAGCACACATCAGGAGAGCTCACATACCTTTATGCTGTTGTCTCGCTCATTCTGTAACCCTGACTGATCTCAAACTCAGCAATCCTCCTGCCTCAGCCTCCCCAAGTGCTAGGATTACAGGCATGAGCCAACGTGCCTGACTTCATACACTTTCTAAATTGAAAGTTATTGCAATATCAAAATAAAATCCAGAAAATACCAAGGCATTATGTTATATGAGTTTTGCTAATTATAAAATGATATATATTCACCCATCCAAATAAAAACATGCAGTACTGTATTTACATATAAGATATGTATCACCTGTCATGACTGTTATACATGTGAGAGCCGGGATAGGGGTGGGAGGAACACAAGCATGAAGGATCATCTCCATTGAATTGTGAATCCTTTTTCCTATACGAAGTGAACAAGTGGGCTTTCTAAATGAAATGTATATTTTCACATATTTTTTCTTTTTTACTGGTGTATATTAGTTGTACAGAACAACGGCTTTCACTGTGATATTTTCATACATGTACATAAGATACTTTGACAATATTCAACCTCCTCGACAACACCCTTTCTTGCTCCTTTTGCCTTACTTCCCATTCCCTTCTTCCCAAATAGTCCTTCTTATACTTACAAGGTTTTTTCTTTAAATCTAGACTCTTTATTGAGAGAAAACACGCAATATTTATCTGTAACGGACCAGCCCAGACTGGGGCAGTTTAGTTTGATGGGAACAGGGTCGTCGAGCCTCAGCCTCCCCAAGTGCTAGGATTACAGGCATGAGCCAACGTGCCTGACTTCATACACTTTCTAAATTGAAAGTTATTGCAATATCAAAATAAAATCCAGAAAATACCAAGGCATTATGTTATATGAGTTTTGCTAATTATAAAATGATATATATTCACCCATCCAAATAAAAACATGCAGTACTGTATTTACATATAAGATATGTATCACCTGTCATGACTGTTATACATGTGAGAGCCGGGATAGGGGTGGGAGGAACACAAGCATGAAGGATCATCTCCATTGAATTGTGAATCCTTTTTCCTATACGAAGTGAACAAGTGGGCTTTCTAAATGAAATGTATATTTTCACATATTTTTTCTTTTTTACTGGTGTATATTAGTTGTACAGAACAACGGCTTTCACTGTGATATTTTCATACATGTACATAAGATACTTTGACAATATTCAACCTCCTCGACAACACCCTTTCTTGCTCCTTTTGCCTTACTTCCCATTCCCTTCTTCCCAAATAGTCCTTCTTATACTTACAAGGTTTTTTCTTTAAATCTAGACTCTTTATTGAGAGAAAACACGCAATATTTATCTGAGTCTGGCTTATTTTGCTTGCCATGGTGAGCTCTAGTTCCTTCCATTTTTCTGCAAGTGGCATGATTTCATTCTTTGTTTATGGCTAAGCGAGTGACAAACAGACGCAAAAGGAGCTTGATGAAAGTCTGAGTGTAATTTGTGTAGTTGTAAGGCTTGAAATATATATAGCAAAGATTACAAAAAACCGCAGAACAGTCATGATAAGATTCACAGTTGCAGAGGTGAAAGTAAAACATTATTTTGCCAACATATCTCTCTATTTTATTAACCTGACACTAGACAGTAAATTCCTGTTTTACTGTGTTTTTTCACTGTCAGCCTTTCTCACACACTTAAGATTCTGCTCGGCTTTATAGTCCCAAGTCAGGATGGCCTTGATTCATTAAGCACCCCATTAAGCACTTCCAACACCAGTGGTGCCAGGTTGTTACTTTTTTAATGATCTGATAACATTCCTTGCTTATTTGTAGTGGGCCATAGCGCTTCTAAGTTAGTTTAACTCTATAAGTCCCAAAAAGGCTATCTCATGTTAGAGATCCATGAAACCATATTTTTCTCTTATCCTACCAATTTTAAAATACTTTCTATATTTGCTCTTTAATGCTCTCTTATTGATTGTTTATCAAAAAACACCAAGGTGGTCTTGATCTTACCAATTAAATCGAGACTCTTTATTGAGAGAAAACACGCAATATTTATCTGAGTCTGGCTTATTTTGCTTGCCATGGTGAGCTCTAGTTCCTTCCATTTTTCTGCAAGTGGCATGATTTCATTCTTTGTTTATGGCTAAATAATACTCCAGTGTGTGTGTGTGTGTGTGTGTGTGTGTGTGTGTGTGTGTGCGTATGCACATGACTTTTTTCTTTTTCTGTATTCTTTTAGGTTTTCTGAGTTAAGAGTCTCAGCATATAGCCAAGGCTAGCCTTGAACCAAGTAACCTTGCTCACTGACAAGCTCACAACCTGAGTTTGAGCCCCAGGACCCACTCAGGTTGTGAGCTTGGGAGTAAGCACCTTTATCCACTGAGCCATTTCACCAGCCCTGCACTTTTTAAGATTTGGTTTTACTCTTTTTAGTATTTTTAAATTATATATGTATATATGTATATGTATATCTGTTGGGGGATTGTGTGCATGTAAGTGCAGGTGCCTGAAGAATTTAGAAGAGGCCATTAGATTCCCTGGAGCTGGAGTTACAGGTGGGTATGAGCCACCTCATATAGGTGCTAGGAATCGAACCTGGGTCCTCTGCAAGAGCTATACTCCTTCTTAACTGCTGATCCATCTCTCTAGCCCCCATTTTGGTTTTTTAAAGACAAGGTCTCACTAGGTTGTCCAGGCTGGCTTGGATCTACTGTGCAGCCCATGTTGGTCTTGAACTCATGACCCTTCTGCCTCAATCTCCTGAATGCTAAGATTACAGGCATGTGCTACCATGCCCAGCTTCCAGAAAGCCTTTTCTGATGGCCACATCTGAGTTGTCTGAACTTCCCCTTCAGATCCCATTCTCCTACCCACACGTTTGTCTGTGACCCTAAGATTATTAGCTCGTGAGAACAGGAGTCATGTTTATCCTGGTTTCTATTCTTTCTGAGGAACAAAAAAATCCACAATAAATACCTATTAAATCAAACACTAAACCATGAAGTAGAGGCAGCT